CAGGCTGTTGGTCTCGTCAGAGTAGCTGACAGTCTGCGGCTCCAACCGTCTCTGTACTCACTGTTTTCATTCAGGTTTTTCCACTAGTTGGTGCCTAATCCACTTCTGTATAGTTCCTTTCAAAGCTCAGGGTTCCAGGATTATCTTCTGTATCTCTGTCAATTGGTTATTCTTTTCTTTGTTGAAGAGGGTTTATGTCGCTTATCTGCCTATTCCTCCATCTTCTAAAACATATTATTATAATTAATTTCACTTATTTCTTTTTCTGTTTACTTTTTATTGCAGAAAAATGCAAAAGCACATCTGTGGCTTGCACTGTATTTCTATGTCAGAGCCTCTGTATTTTCTGTTGTTGTTATGTGCCGTGGAGTCAGCCCTGACTCATAGCAACCCCTCCTTGGGTTTCCGAGGCAGTATCACTACGGAAGTAGGATTGCCCAAACTTCCTTCCGACTGTATTTTCTAGGGACTCTCTAATAGAAGCACAATCATGTGTCTGGCATTTTTAGTACTCTTAAGTACTTCTCTGTACTTAAATGGTTTAGCTTGTATCATATAAACATAAACATGTGTGTGTGTGTAAATGCCTCAACCCCAGGCTTCTGAAAGTGACAGAAGCTGTGGCTCTTCATACAATCCCTCCCTTTGCTCTGGATCCAATTTCCAAACCCCTTCACTCAGTCTTATCAAGTAATATGGTACAATGGTATCTCTTATTAATTAGTAAGCTTTGTATATTTTTCACATGGCTCTGCATATTCAAAAGGTTATTTCAGGTACTGCATATTTTTTTTGTTGCCAGTACTGCTGTGTCTACAGTCCTCCCCCACACCACAACTACCACTCAAAACATTTAATTGGTTATTGGTGGTATTCAAGATCTTGGAATATTTAGCTGATATACAGCCAATCTAAAAAACTTTTTTTGTGTGTTTTTTTTGAAAACTTTTGTGATTTAGGTTAAAGTTTACAGAGCACACTGGTTTTCCATTCAGTAATTCATACATATTGTGTTTTGTGACACTGACTGCAATCTCCACGATGTAAGAGCACTCTTCTTACTTCTTTGGTGTTTCTCATTTCTGTTTGTCCTTTTTTCCTCTTTCTATCTTCTATCTTTATCTCTGGGCAAATGCTGTCATTTTGACCCGATATGGCTGATTGTTCTAAGGAGAGTATATATCCCTAGTATTACTGGTCACCTGATAAACTAATTATTTGACCGAAAGCTGCAGCACAGGGGTGATTTCAGTGCTTGCTTGAAGGGTGACTAAAGGTCACAGTCTCAGGGGTTCTACCAATCTCTATCAGACCAGTGAGCTTCGTCATTTTCTTTCAGTTTTGTTCCCCATTTTTCTCCCACTCTATCCAGTACCTTCTATCTTTCAGAGTGGTTGGTAGTAGCTATCAACCAGCAACCAGCACCATGCAGTTTTTCTGTTCTCAAGGGTTCTGAAGGTTGTAGTTTGCATCATCCATTAGTCCTCTGGACTAATTATTTCTATTCACCTTTGATTTTCTTGACAAACTCTTTCATTAAATCTAAGTTTTACCTCTGAAATTCTTTGGATACTCTCTGTATATAAATCATGCTGCATAAAAATAATTATTTGGTCTCTGTCTTTTGAAACACATTCCTCTCATTTCTGTTTCTTGTCTTACTGCGTTTAACAGAATTTAAACTTAAATAACTTAAGTCATAAAATGATTTAATGTGAATGGATCTTGTGTGTTACCATTATATGTTGGTTTTGAATTACAAATAAATTTTTTTTTAATATATATTAAGGGAGTATTATTCTATCCATTAAAAATTGAAAAGAAATCTAGAAGCTGCTTTATATTATCAACTGTCATTGTGCTGCATGTAATGAAATAATTATATGCAGCTGTTTGTTTATGTAAAATTACATGAAGAGGTTTCCTGTTGTGAATTGATCCTTCTATTCCTAGGTGGACATCATTTCCTCTCTGCCTCCAGAATACTTAGGTTCTAGATCTTTTTCCTTCTTTCCCTACTTACCTCACCACACTGTTGTGAACACCTACTTTTCAGGGGGGGATAAAGAAGATAAATCAGAGAAGGGTTGATTAGAGACGTAAACAAATCAGCATAGGATGATTTCTACGAAGCCAAAGAAAGTGTTTCAAGGAGAAAGTAATCCAATGTTAAACAATGCATAAAGACAACAACAACAACAAAACATTTTCTAAATTTGAAAATGGGGCTAGAAACTGTAGGAAAAAGTTTTAGTAAGTGATAGGGGCAAAAAGGATGGATTTACACAATAAATTGTTGAGAAAAAGAGAATAAAGGAGCATAGACTATTTTTTTCCAAAGCATTTTATGGGAGTTGGGAAGAAAGAAAAGTAGTAGAGAGGGGATGATGCTTATGGGAAGCTCTTTTTAGGATTTGGGAGGGCTAAGCAATGGTTAAGTGCTTGCCTGCTAATCTAAAGTTTGGCAGTTTGAACTCGCTCAGGGGCTCCAAGGGAGAAAGACTTGGCAATCCCCTCCTGTAAAGATTATTGCCAAGAAACCCCACGGAGCAGTTCTACTGTCACATGAGGTTGCTATGAGTCAGAATCAACTTGATGGCACCCAACAACCTCAACAAGCATATTTGTAGGAATAAGATTAAACACATGAACAGAAATTATAGCAAGGGAAAATGGAGTATGTCAAACATTAGGGAAAATGCTTGACAGGAAATATTCTGAAAGAATCTGTAACAAACCGTCTTGACAAGAAGGGGCACTTCTTGAATTTACAGCAGAGGAAAAGACAAAGGATGTGGCTTGAGAAAAACTTAAAAACTTGAATAGAACATGAATGGCTGAGAGGCTTGTGAATCTTCAATGGAAGTAACAATCTGAGTGAATGCTTACACCACACTTGTAAATAAAAATGTTGGCTATTATCAGTCACTTCAGGCCAGAAAGCTCTTCACTTCTGACCTGCAAAGTGTACAGTCCAGTGTTCTGGATTTAACCTTTCACTTTCTATATCACTGCCTATTGTTCAGGGGCTAGTTCTCTTATCCACTAGAAATTCAGGAGTTGAGAAAATAGGTTCTACTTCTAAGAGCAGAAGCACATCTTGATATCAGAAGCTGTCCTTTAGAGAGTCAAAGGTTTTTTTTTTGGTGGTGGTGGTTTTTGTTTTTAGTGTATATTTCTCTACGTAATAATAATTTAAAAAAAAAGTGATAAATAGTATTTAAAAAATTTTTTGAGCCCTTTTCAGGGCCAACTTTCATCAATGCCCTTTATCATAGGGAAAGTGAGCAGGATGATGAACATTTACTATCTTCTATTTTCCATAATCTTATCTAGTTATTTATCCTCCCTTCACCTAAATTAATAACTGTCTACCCTCTACTTAGTGGTTTACTCTCCCCTCTCCACCCACCATCAAAGAATATTTCCTTTTTGTGAAACTCTTTTCTTGACTTTTTACACACAATATATGTTCTTTTGTGACTGACTAGTTTAATTCAGCGTAAGGTCCTCTTAAGTCCATTCATGTTATGAGATGTTTTGCATATTCATCATTGTTCTTAGTGATAATACTTTTGATAAAAATCTGAAAATGTATGCTCGCCTGAACTAACTTCAGCTAAGAGTTCCTTTCTGTGATAAAGTCCAAAGCTTTAACTTCAGTCTTACATGACGAAAGGTAAACCTAACTACTGTAGACTAAGAAACAGAAAGACTTTTAAGAAAAGGAATTAAAAAAATTTCTCATGTCTAAAAGGTGCTTTTCTCAGATAATACATGTAGTAGTCATTCAACGAATGTTTTTTAAGTATTTGCTTTCTATCTTTTCTTTAAAGTCACATTCTTAATTACATGGTTTAGAGACAGACAGAATCAAAGGTTTAAAGAACAGGAAATTTAGGAACTAAATTATGACTATAAGAAGAAAATAATTATTGAAAAAATTCACTTACCCAGGACAAAGAAATGATGTTAATAAAACATTTGTTTTCCACTTCTCACCTCCAAAGGCTATAGAAGAAAACAACAGTAGTATAACATACAGATTTTTCTTTAAGCAAACCATATACCCATAGTCCAAGTGGTATTCAACAAACTGTTACACATCACTGGGTGCCAGTCCTAAGAAACGAAACTAGTGCAAGTTATCGATAGTTCCTTATCAAATGATGCAAACCAAGGATGCACAGCAAGAGTCTACCTGAATAACCCTGCTTTACAGACTTCTGCTTCAGCATAAAATAAGTCCAGTATCAAAAGAAAGTCATCCTGGACAATTTTTCTCTTCCAATTTTTTTTTAAATGAAAACAAAACAAATTGCTAAATTCTATGCCAGTATTAATAAATGGGACTGAGTGCAGAAAAGGCACAAAGGAGATTCTGGTTTATCTTGTGGTTAGTTTCAGAATTTAACATAAAACTAGGAACCCTCAAGCTTGACATGAAACAAATCTACATTTTCACAAGCTGGAATCTTTAGGATTCCTCTAGCACTGCAGTATAGTTTTTAGTAAGTGGTAGGGGTGGTGGGTGATTAAGAAGAGTGGAATAGCCATTTGACAGAACAAATTTGATCATGAACATCTCTACTTTCCTTTACCTCTTTCCAATGTGCATTTTTCGTTTCATTTTAAAAAATCAAATACTGAAGGACATAGAATAAAAAATGAAGGTAGTCTTTTGTCTCCAGTTTAAAAGTTTGAGATGAAACTGGCTGAGATTTGAGAGCAGCTTATTTTTTCAGAAAAATTTTTTAACATAATTTGTAAGCAAGTTTAAGTGCTTACATTAAAAGAAAATGATGAAATTTTATATACAGATTTGAATTTATAGTACCACTGACAAACTATTGTGAAATTGCTAATTCTTGGTTCAATACAATTCTAATAAAAACTCAAAAAGTGTCTTCTGAAACATCAGAAACGATTCTAAAAAATGAATTATTTCTGTGGCTGGGATTACATGAGTCCCTCTTAGTAACTGATTAACAGTCCACTTAACCTGCAGCTGGAGATCTGAGTCCTGACTGACTATATCTAACGAAAAACTCACTGCCATCGAGTTGATTTCAACTCATAGTGAACCCTCCTTGGATTTCCAATAGACATAACTACCCTAATCCTGTCTTTTAGTAAAGGATGAAAGAAAAAAAAAGAACATCAGAAAATACTCAGAAATTAAAACACCTTTACACATACATACAGTACTTTTCATGCTCAGGAGAGAACTTCACCTGGCAACATCTAGCTAGTATTTCCACCTGGGGGTTGAAACCAGTAATCCTAACCTTAAGATCACCTATGTAACCCTACTATGTTTTACCTCAAATTTATTCAGAAAATTGTTAGGAATCCTAGCTCTGTCTCATCTCCCTGGCACTTCTAATCACAGATTACCTGTGGAACCATCTGCATTTCTATTGTTGTTGTTGTTGTGATGTGCCTTCAAGTCGGCCCCGACTCATAGCGACCCCTCCTTGGGTTTCCGAGGCAGTATCACTAAGGAAGTAGGACTGCCCAATCTTCCTTCCGAGGAGTGGCTGGTGGGTTTTAACTGCCAGCCGTCTGGTTAGCAGGCAAGTGTCTTAGCCACTACGCTACCAGAGCTCCCATTTCTAAGGAGGGTAAAATCTGGCATTTGCTGACCCTGACAAAGACTGCTCACCAAATTATTGTCCCCCATCCTTATTCTGTGGCCATAACCCTTTTTGTAAATGAAATTCATTTTATTTCAGAAAAGTAAAATACAAGAGATTATAACTAATAATATTACAAAAGTAACTTACTCTTGGGCTCTTTTAAACAGTGAGATCTTAATTTAAGTATAGATGCCATTTATAAACATTGAATTGATATAATTTTAAGTGTGACATCTCATGTGTAAGAAAACATGTACTTTGTATGTATTACCTGTTTTAGTTAATAAATCAGTGACTACTCACTTGTAGGAGCTCTGGTAGCACAGTGCTTAAGGCACTTAACTGCTAACCAGAAGGCTGGCAGTTCAAACCCACCAGCCACTCCTCGGAAGGAAGGTTGGGCAATCCTACTTCTGTAGTGATAATTGCCTTGAAAACTCAAGGAGGGGTCACTATGAGTCAGGGCCGACTCGACGGCACATAACAACAACAACTCACTTGTACACTTTCTTTAATAGTCGATACAGTTGATCCTTCACAATATAGGGTTAGAGGTGCTGACACCCTGTCACAGCTGAAAATCAGCGTATCAAACTTTTGACTCCCCAAAAACTTAACCACCAATAGCCTACTGTTTACTGACCAGAAGCCTCACTGACATCAACAGTGAACATACTTCTTGCCATACAGTTATTACATTGTCACACGAAAATATTTACATACATACACAACAGGTAAGTTTATCAACTGTATGGCATGATGATTATTTATTATTCATTAAATGGAAGTGGATCATCATGAAAATCTGCATCCTTGCTATCTTCATGATGAACAGGCTAAGGAGGAGGAGGAGGAAAAGGAGGAAGGGGTTGGTTGTGCTTCCTCCAGGGTGGCAGAGGTAGAAGCAGAGGAGGTGGAAGGGGAGGCAGGCATACTCAGTGGAACTTTATGGAAATACATCATACTTTCTGATTTTTTGTTTTTCATTTCTCTAAAAATGTTTCTATACAGTACCAATCTTTGAAAAAAATGCAAGTATAAGTGGATCCATATAGTTCAAACCCATGTTCTTCAAGGGTCAACTGTATATGCTTCTATGAAAGTAGTAAATCTAAGTTGTTCATCCAAACCTAGTATATCAAAACTTAAAAGGAAAAAGAGGGAAGGAATGGTGGATAAGCAATACCTAAATCTGCTTAAAGCACTGTATAAGGATTTTTGAACAAATAAATCTAGGGACACTCATTCACTTTACAAAGGAAATTACCAACCAGGCTCCCTACATATATGAAAAGCTTTAATTATGTGACACAAAGACTCATACCCACTGATGTAGAAAATTAGACAACTCAGTTGACTCTCGTCAAAGTGGCTTTTACTTACACTTATAGAATCTGGCAGCAACATAACCTGCAGGAGTTCCCAGCAGCACCCATAAGACCACAGCACAAGTCATCAGTGCTCCTCTGTTGGCAGGTGACAAAAATCCCAGGCAAGCAAAAACTAAAAAATAAGTCACACAACTTTAGGAAAAAACATTCACTATGCCACCATGCAGCCACACTGCATCTTAGCAATATTTAATGTACTGCATTCATTTGATCACATGTAAGGCAAACTCCACTTGAGGAGTTTCTTATCAGAGTCTGTAAGACCTCATTTTTCTTTTTATTGGGGGATGTTGACCAAATGCTTGAGTGGCTTCCATCTTTTCTGAGATTCAAGTATAGCTTTTAAATTGACATAAATAAAAAACATTTCCACTATGAATTATATCTTGGTTCTATTAAAAAAAATAATACTAGATTCCATTAGGGTGAACATTCAAACTTGAGCCTTTCACAACTAAAGTGAGACATGAGCATGTTTGGGCATGGCTTTTTCCTAAGTCATTCATAGCCATTCACAGTCAAAAGCACACAGGTTCTGAGAACTGAAAGGACTCTTAGAAATAATCTAGCCTAGCTACCTCACTTTGGAAAACTGGTTTTCAAATAATTATTTAGAAAAAATATTTTCTACTTTTTAATTTATACTTAACACTTACACAGAGTCACAAAAGTCATAATTAAAATCTGTGTCCCTGATCCTAGAAAGACTGATAGCAGCATCCCTTTTCTTGGAGGACGGAAAATATCACCATGAACTAGTTTCCAGCCAAATTCTTCCTGGGCATCCTCCTAAAAATGAAATGAAATTGTTTTAGTTTTCATGTGCTATCACCAAGACAACTAGACAGTTTACATTGTTGAATATATTATTACAGAAAATTAAAGAAAAAACTTAAAAATGTTATTATCTATTTCAAATTTGAAGTATAAAGCTTCATTTGGACCTTTATATGGCTTTCTTGAATTGTTTTTAAAGCAATGTCATGTAGTAAGGTCTATAAATATAGCTACTGAGAAACTTTAAAAAGAAATCCAAAACAATATGATACTTACCTAGTTCTTCTCTAAGTCAAGCTTTATGATCCAACTTGATAATTTTATTTTTAATGACACACTAACCTTTTCAATCTATACTTATTCATCTCCAAAATAAGCAAATGGTATTAGTTTTATATTATACTTACTTTGCTAGTAAACTTAGCTATAAATATATCAGTAAATTTTGTGTCACCAGCCCAAACTGTTCCCACATACACACATACATGCTGTCGTTATCTCCTGCTGACTAGGTCCCTGACTCCTAGTGATCCCAAGCACAATGAGACTGGATGTTGTGATCCACAGAGTTTTCACTGGCTGATTTTTCAGAGTATCACCAGGCCTTCCTTCCTAGTCTGTGTTAGGCTGGAAGCTCTGGTGAAACCTCTTCAGCATCACAGCAGCACACAAACCTCCACTCAAGATGGGTGATGGCTGTGCTTGAGGTACACTGGCGGAGAATGGAACCTAGATCCTCTGCATGGAAGGTGAGAGCTCTACCACTGAACTATCGCTGCCCCCAGATATGTATACAACTGCCTAATCAACATCTCCACTTGATTATTTTTTATCTTGAAAAGAATTATCCACAACTTAACTGATTCTCTCCCTCCTTCAACCTGTTCTTCCTACAGCTTCCCCTAATGGATTAAAAACTCCATCCTTTTAGTTGCTCAGGCTCCAAAAACTTACAGTCATCTTTGGTTCCTCCCTGTATTTCACGTATCATATACAACTCTTCCACCACTTGTCTGTCAGTGTGCTGTACTGTGGTGGTTTGCATGCTGTTGTGATGCTGGAGGATATGCCACCAGTATCCTGACTACCAGCAGGGTCACCCATGGTGGACAGGACTTTGGTCGTGTTATCAGAAGGGATCAATCCCTGGAGAAGAATATCATGCCTGGTAAAGTAGGAGGTCAGTGAGAAAGGGGAAGATCCTCTATGAGATAGATGGACATAGTAGATGCAATGATGGGCTCAAGTACGGCAACAATTTTGGGGATGGTGCAAGACCGGGTAGTGTTTCTTTCTGTTGTGCATGAGGTCGTTATGAGTTGGAACTGACTCGATGGCGCCTAACAACATACAATCCTCAGACAAATTCTATAGTTCTATCTCTAAAATGTATCCAGACCCACCATGAGCCCCTTGTTCAAGCCACTACCTGTCATCTGGCTATTGCAATGTATACTAAACTGGTCTGTTCTTCCCTTATCTCTTAGTTCTCAATATAGCAGCCAGAAGAATCCTTTTAATATATAAGTCAGAGGATATCATTAATTCTTCCAAATCAATGGCTTCCCTTCCTCCTCAGAGTAAAAGCAAAAATCCTTATAGTGGCTCATATTCCTACATGATTTGACACCTCGCTACTTCTATGACTTCACCTCTAATCACATTTCCTTGGAAGTTCTAGGCATGCTCTCATCTTGGGGTTTTGCAGTTGCTGCTACCTTCCCTGGAGAGCTTTTCCCTTTTCTTCCCAATGTGTGTATGGTTCATCCCTCTGACTCCACCATGTCTCCACTGAATTGTCACATTTTCATTGAGGCCTCTCTGATGAAATAAAACCCACAACACCACATCTTCCTTACTCTGCTTTATCTTTTTTTCATAGCATTTACAGAATCTAACATACTACATATTTACCAGTTGTTATTATCTACACCTCCCACTACAGGATAGGAAGTCTGTTTTGTATAATGCGCCATCTTCAATACCTAGTATAACAGGCTTACAAATACTTGCTCTATAAAAAATATTTCTAAGTTATTTAAGATTCTTAGGAGTTTATCATAAAGTAAGGTAGAGGAAATTAAAAGATAAGAAAGAGATGGTTAGCAGGAGTGTTCTAACAGTGGAATGCATCACATGTAGCCTCTTGGGATGACTTGGGATGACAGGAGATGAAGATCTTTGACATTTCTTGAAAATCCTGTTACTCTAAACAACCTCTGCATTAAGACACCTGGTCAGGTGATGTTGATATTTAATTTACAACATAAAAGTTCTTTATTTTCTAACAATAGAAACAATACATTTTTCTTATAAAATAAACTTCAAACAATAAAGAAATAAAGAAGAATATAAATCCAACCTCTAATGATTTAAGAGATTCTTCTGGTCCTTTTCTTTGTGTAATTTTTGTTCTTTCGTTCGTTTTTCTTACAAATAATACTGCTTGAAAACAAGTTTTTTTTCACTTTTACTATGTAGTGTGATGGCTGGAGCTGTGTGTCAACTTGGCTGGACCACAATTCTGTGTGGTTTGAGCTGTTATGGTGTGGCTGTTCCCATGATGGGATCAGATAACTATGTTCTGAGTGGCCAATCTGTTGAAAGGAGTTTCCCTGGGGGTGTGACCTGCTTCCAGTATATCCAATGACATTCTGGGAAGAGAGACATTCTTCTGTGGATCCGGTTTCTGTTATGCTGCCTACAACTGTCCGTGAGTGAACAGTCCACCATTTGGCCTGGAGATCTTGGATTCATCATTCGTTGGAGTCAACAGCCGGTGTACTGCCTGCCAGCCTTGAGCTCCTCTGCCCCTGTGGTTACAAGAGCCAGGAAAAGTTCCTGATCCAGGAACTTTGGACTTGCTAGCTTCTATAAGTGTGTGAGCCATTTTCCTAAGATAAATTTCTCTCTAATATACATATATATAAGCTTTATTGGTTTTTGTTTCTCTAGAGAACCCAGTCTAACATAGTAGTAAACATGTTTCCATGTGAATATGTATACATCCTTTTAAATGTCTGGCTGCCACTTTTAATGATCATTTCCAAAATTTGTATCTCTAACCCAGATCTTGTTCTTACAATACTGGATCCTTATTATCACCCTACTTACTAACAGCTACTGTTTTGGTTATCTTGTGCTGCTCTAACAGAAAATACCAAAAGTAGATGGCTTTAACAAACAGAGATTTATTCTCTTATAGTTTAGGAGGCTAGAAGTCCAAGTTCCAAGTGCCAGTTTTAGGGGCTGGGGGAAAGCCTCTCAACCTTGGGCTTTAGCTCTGCCTCATTCTCCCAGCCACTGCAACTGGAGGCTTCTCTTAGGCAGTTGTTGACTGCTGAGGCTGACAAACCCATGGCAGGCCACTGAGATGAAGGCTCAGCTACATGTAAGATCCAGACGTGCCAAAATGCTAGAGATCTTCAAAGCTGCTTCTTATACATCAGAAGCAGACTACATCCCTAAAGCAGCTACTCAGCTGCACACAGTAGATTATGCCATGGAGCTGATTATCAGTCTTATCATGGGGAATAACTACATCCAGCTGCCTAGCTACTCAAAACCAGGCCCAGCCAAGTTGACGCACCACCTTACTACCACAGCTATATTGCTGTCTTATTTACATCTTACACTCATGTCCAAAAATTAACCTGACTTCCCCCCAAAGCCTACTACTTTATTATTTCCCATCTTAATAAATGGAACCACTATCAACCTGGAGGCTCAAGTCAGAAACCTAGGGTTATTCAAATGACATCTCTGTCTTCTGCCTTCTCCAGGGCCAACCAGCAATCACCATTCCATACCATCTCCCGAGCAAACTCTGTATTTATCTGCCCACTTCCCTCCCCTCCTACTTATTTATGATATATTTTGCTATATATCATAATGTACTGATCATTTAACAATCATTTCTTTTATGACTTTTGGCTCTCTGTCATACTTAGAAAATTCCACTCATCTCGTAAGATTTAAAGATAATTTCACATGTTTTCTTCTAGTGTTTTATTGTGCCACATATTCATTTAAATCTTAATGATTTCAATATAAGGAGTCAAGTTGAGATTGACCTTAATTATTTTCCAGATGGCCATCCACTTTGTCCTAATGCCATCTGTCAAATAATCTGTCTTTTCTCTGCTGATACACCTTTGCTAACTTTGAAATTTAGACTCTTTATATCCAGAAAATGTTTATTTAGGATTTCATTGTTCACCAGTCCTTCTAAGTTTCCCTTCAGGATTGTTTCCTTTCTCCTAAAGTATTTCTATAGATTCCTTCAGTGAAGGTCTGTCTGTGGGCAACTGTTTTTGTTAGTCTAGAAAAGGTATTTGACCTCCATTCTTGAAAGAGGAAATTTTCTGGGTACATGATTCTAGGTCAACGAGTTTATTTTTCACACCAATTTAAATATATTATTCCACTGTCTCTGAGCTCCATTGTCAATCCAATTGTTATTCCTTTGCAGATGCTCAGGTCCCACCCCTCCCCTTGGCTGATTCTAAGATACTCTCTTTGTCTCTAGTGTTCTATGGTTTCACTGAAATTTACCTAGGTGTGGATTTTTTATTTATTATGTTTGGGGTAACTTTGCTTCTTTTATCTGTGGATTCTTATCTTTCACCTGTTCTGAAAAATTCTTAGCTGTTACTTTTTTTTTTTTAATGTATTTTATACTCTCTCACTAGTAATTTCTGTACCTGGAATCTTTGGGAGTCTAAATCCAACTCAAATTTTTGTGACTCTCTAACTATAAGCTCTTATATATATTTTTATCTCAAATTGGAGGAATTCTGAAAACTTAAACGTGGGAGACTTTCTTTTTGAGGATTTCTGCTTGATTCAGCTAAGAATTAGATGGCACTTACTGACACGGAACTGTTTTGGTCCCACATTAAGAATGCAGTCTTAATGCAGGAGAGTGAGGTTCAGTTCCCTCACTACTGACCCAAGGTTTAGTCTCCCAAATACGTAAAGACTTGATATAGGCATCTCATGCTTGCATTTTGTTTCCTGCTGTGGCCTCAGCTCACCTTTTGGGGGGGTTAGGATGGAGGGGTCTTTAGAGACCTCTTTTAGCTATCATAAACCCAGCAATGCATCAACAACTCTGGTATATCAATGACTGATTTATTTATACATTCATTTAACAAAATATTTACGGGGCACCAACTATACGGTGGGTACTATTTGAAATGCCAGAGATACTACAGTGCCTGATGAGCCTGAGGAACAGCATGGTGGTCAGATGGTTGGAACAGAGCTTTGAGAGGTAATGGAGGACAAGATTACTATAGGCATTACAAAGTCTCTGACTTTTACTCTGCAATAAATGGGAAGCCACTAGAGCATTATGATCAGGATAACATGATCTCACTCAGGTTTTAACAGATTCATTCTGACTGCTATGATGAAAAGATACTGGAGGGAGGAAAAGATCAGGAGCAACTGTGGAATCAGGATTGTCACTGGCCATATTTCATCTGTGTCTCCATACATATAAAGAAAAAAAAATTCACTAACTGAGCAATTAATTTGAAATAACCAATTATGAACAGAGTATTTTGAAATTGTTTTAAATATTTAATGAAATATGTAGCTAATAAAAATCATTAGAAAAATAAAAGACCTGTACAGAGATGCTAAAAGTCTCTGTTAGTATGTTCTTTCTCTAATTAGAACAGGATGGGAAAGTTAGAAAAAAGGCTGAACAGACTAGAAAGAGAAAAGCATACAAATCTGAGTTCTTGTATTCACCACAAATTACTGTGATTCTGGTAGAAATTGTTTAGTTTGCAGCTTTAAAATGAAAATGTTTAAAATGCGTAACATTATGCAACTTAAAATGTTTGAGAATAAATGAGGTGGGTTGTTAAATTGTTTTGAATACACCAAATGTTGAAATGATAAAAATTCAGTTAAAAATATTTTTTTAAATTACCCATACATATATAAATAAAAATTACTTGATACTCTTCTCAACTTTGCCATTCACAAATTGGTTGTATTTTGGGAATGAAGAATCTGACCAAATTGGAGGCACATAAGTAGGGAAAGAGGACACCATTGTATACCTACTTACATCCACTCTGCACCAATTTATTGACACAGATGACATTATGTACAGTTCAACTCTGAGAATTTTTTCCCTTCTCTAGGATGCTGTAATGACTAAATTTCTAGAGAATATAAATTTTTAAGTATCGTTTTCTTATTGGAAAATGTGAACTCAAGATAACTTTTGAGAAGGATGTTTTAGAAGGAGAGTCTGTCTAAAGCTATTCAAATTTTTTCAAAATAAAAATAAATACCGTTGTTGGCCAGAGAGTAGTTAAAAATTGTTTCTACTCACCGTAGAATCCATCTGATTATATCTGGCAATATCTTTATGCAGTGTCCGTAACATAATCATAGCTACCATTCCAGATAAGAAGAGAACAATTACCAGGGAATTCATTATGCTGTAGAAATAAGCACATCATGATAAACTTCAGAAGTGAAACTCTTATTTAAAAAAAACTGTTCTGCTGAGTAACATTAAACAGAACTCATCAGAATCAAAATTGAAACTTTACCTAAAACCCTACAACAAATTCACTGAACTGTGTTTTTCAAGTTTCCACTCAGCAGATTCATATTGTACATTTTATAGTCTCTTTAGAACTAGGATTTTTTTTTGTCTGGTCATTATTATTAAATTACTACTGTCCCTGAATAAGTTCAGGAAAAACTGCAAGGAATTAACTGGTCCCTACCCTCAAGAAATTTACTGAAGAACAAATTTATGTGACAAATTAATGAGTATCAAAAAGATCAGTCAGCAAAACAGAAAGGAGAGTAAGGGCATCACGAACAGCTCTGACTCATGCTTTAAAAAGAATGACAACAAAAAAGTTTAACAATAATAGCAACTTCTATTTACTGAGCACTTTTACACGACAGGTATGCCATTACATTCACTTTAATTATCTGATTTAATCCTCACAACAATCCCAGGCAGTAATTATTTCTAGACCAAGAAAAAAAACAGACTGAAAAAATGAGTGACCCACAACCAGTGACTTACAAGCCAGGATTTGAATCCAAGTCTGTATGGTTCAAAAGCCTAGACTTCTGAATAACTGGAGAGGATTAGAGAGCAAATGAGATGTGCAAAGGGACAAAAACTAAAGTACAAAAGAGAAAGCAGATTAACAGTACTCTTACCTAAACCACTGAATGTGGGTATGAGGCATAGATTCCAAAATATAATCCCATCTGGATGCCCATCTGATACTTTTATCTTCCTACAGGAAGGAAAAAAAACCCAAAACAACTCTATAAATAAGCATTTGCTGACAGAGCACATTATAAACCCAAACATTTCAATTTACAACTTGCCTTTTATTCAGTTAACAACTGCAATTTCTAATTATCATAATTTGGGTTAGTTGTGAGATTCAGAGCTTCACATTTACTCAAGTCTAGGCAAAATCAGGATGAGATTAAGCAGTAAACGACAAAGAATTAAGAGTTCCAACAATACGTAAGTATTTGTATTTTTATGTGTTGCTTTAAATTACAATTAGCGAGGTATTTTATAGATGTCAAAATTTAGAGCTATATTTCAATTTTTAGGAGCTCTGGTAGCATAGTGGCTAAAGCATTTGACTGCTAACCAGAGGGCTGGCGGTTCAAACCCACCAGCCACTCCTCGGAAGGAAGGTTGGGCAATCCTACTTCCGTAGTGATACTGCCTCGGAAACCCAAGGAGGGGTCGCTATGAGTCGGGGCCAACTCGACGGCACATAACAACAACAACATTTCAATTTTTAAGAAAATATCTAAATGGACTAAATTATTCTTTATTCTCTTTGATGCTATCTATCTATGCCTATGGGGCACCTTACTAGACCACAAGTCATAACTCAGGCACAGTAAGCATCAGGTAGTAGTCACCCACAGTGAGCTCTTAATATCTAGAAGAGAAACAGATGCTGCAGTATACTAACTGGGAAAGGCCAGATTCAGACAAGAACATGGAATACGGGACATCACTGCTGATGTCAGACAGATCCTGGCTGAAAGCCAAGAATATCAGAAAGATTTTTACCTGTGCTTTATCAACTATGCAAAGACATTTGACTGTGGGGATCAAAATAAATGATGGGTAACAGTGCAAAGAATGGGAATTCCAAAATACTTAATTGTGCTCATGAGGAACCTATACAAGCAGTATCCCCTTGTTCAAAAAGAACTGCACGGCTTAAGACCAGGAAAGGTGTGTATCAGGGTTATATCTTCTCACCATACTTATTTAATCTGTACACTGAGCAAATAATCAAGGAAGCTGGACTATATGAAGAAGAATGCAGCATCAGGATTGCAGGAAGACAATAATTAACAACCTGTGATATGCAGTTAACACAAACTAGCCTGCTGAAAGTGAAGATGACTTGAAGCACTTACTGATGAAGATCAAAGACTATAGCCTTCAGTATGGATTACACTTCAACACAGAGAAAACAAAAATCCTCACAAGTAGGCCAATAAGCAACATCATGGAAAATAGAGAAAAGATTGAAATTATCAAGGATTTCATTTTACTTGGGTTCAAAGTCAATGCCCATGGAAGGAACAGTCAAGAAATCAGACAACAGCAGGGGATAGCAAGCTCAACTGGCATTAACATACTACATAAACACTGTTCCACATCATACTTTGGTGAGTAGTGACTGGGATCTCAAAAGCTTGTAAGCAGCCATCTAGATGCAACAATGGGTCTCTCGTCGTCCAGAGCAAAGAATGAAGAAAACCAAAGACTCATGAAAATAATTAGTCCAAGCGACTGGCACATCATGCAATCCTTAGCCTGTATGACTATAAGACCAGAAGAACTAGATAGTGCCCAGCTATCACTGTCAACCAGAGGGGGATCGATGTAGGAGATCCTAGATGGAGTGGGAGAACAATGTGGAACAAAACCCAAAATGATTTGGGGGAACAAAAAAAGGGACCAGATTTGCTGGTCTGATAGAGCCTGGTGGAACCACTGAAACTATGGGCCCTAGCTGCCCTTCAGGTCTGGAACTGAACCCACACCTGTGGCTTCCAGCCAACAAAAGACAGGCATTTGAGTTGAACATTTACACTAGGTAGACACACATCTTGAGAGAACAATCATGGGAGAAGAGAAGGACTGTGTATGCACAGGGACACAGCTGAGGGGGCAGGAGTGCATGGAGGGAAGGACACAGGGAAGAGGTAACTATTGGGAGGAAGTGGGAGGGGAGTTGTTGCACTGTGGTAAATTGTAGTCAATGTCATGAGACAAAGAGTATGTGAAATGCTGTATGGAAAGTGAATATGCTATGTAAACTTGCACCCAAATCACAATCAAAAAAAAGAGAAAGAAACCAGACAATATATTGTACTGGGCAAATCTGCTGCAAAAGACTGCTTTAAAGTGTTTAAGAGTTAAGATAACACTTTAAAGACTAAGGTGTGCTTGACCCAAGCCATGGTATTTTCAGCAGCCTCATATGCATGGTATAGAACTCTGGTGGAGCAGTGCCTAAGGCATCTGACTGTTAACCAGAAGGTTGGCAGTTCAAACCCACCAGCCACTCTGCAGAAGGAAGATGAGGCAATATGCATGTGACAACCGGACAATGACTAAAGCAGAACTGATGCATTTGAGTTATGGTGTTGGCTTAAGAAAGAACAAATCTGTCTTGGAGGAAGTATAAGTGGCTAGCTTCTTAGAAGCGAAAATAGGCAGATTTTGTCTTTCGTACTCTGGTCATGTCAGAAGGGACCAATCCCAGGAAAAGGATATTGTGATAGTTGGAGCTGTGTGTCAACGTGGCTGGACCACAATTCTGTGTGGTTTAAGCTGTTGTGATGTGGTTATTCCCATGATGGGATCAGATGAATATGTTTTGAGCAGCCAATCCATCGAAAGGGAGTTTCCCTAGGGGTGTAGCCTGCTTCCAGTATATTTAAGGACATCCTGGGAAAAGAGACATTCTTCTGTGGATGGGGATTCTGTTGTGCTGCCTATAACTGTCCGTGAGTGAACAATCCACCATTTGGCCTGGGGATCTTGGATTCGTCATTCGTTGCAGTCAGCAGCCAGCGTACACTGCCTGTCAACCTTGAGCTCCTCAGCTCCTGCAGCTGCAAGAGTCGGGAAAAACCTCCAGCTTGACGCTTGATCCAAAAACTTTGGACTTGCCAGCTTCTGTAATTGTGTGAGCCATTTTCCTAAAATAAATTTTTTTTCTCTATATATAAGCTTTATTGGTTTTGTTTCTCTAGAGAACCCAGTCTAACACAGATATCATGCTTGAAGGTCAGCAAAAAAGGGGAAGACCCTCAAAAGATGGAATGACATAGTGGCTGTGATGATGGGGTCAAGCATGGCCATGACTGTGAGGATGGTGAAGGATCATGCAGTGTTTCATTCTGTTGTACACAGGGTTGCTATTGGTCAGAACCAACTTGATGGTACCTAACAAGTGTCAAGGTTTAGAAAATTAAAACTCTACATAGGAATCATAAATGTCACAACTAAAATGAATAGCACAGAGGTGGAATAGTGTCTAAGATTTCTTATAAAAACAAACTTCTGCTTACCTCCTGAGGAACTTCTCCATTAATGTAAATACTCTTTTCAATTTCTTCAGAGCCTACTTAAATAATCTATCAGTAGGAAACTTTCCATTTAAGTTTATACTCAAATCTTGATTTAAAAAACTGGTATTGTCTTCCTAAATGCCTTTTGTATGTATCTTTGACATCTTCATACCATCCTCAATGTTTACTTTCTATCTCTTATCTTACAGATACACTTAATAACACTTAATCTGGCTCAATTTTTCAATTTCCTATGCCTTCTCATTTAAACTAAGACTATGAGTGTGATTATGTTGTCTGGTGCACTGACAAACTTTCCACATATTAACTCATCAAAAGCTTATTTGTTTGACAAGTTTAAGCATTAATATTTTTTAATTAGCATTAAATAATACAAATTTAAAATCAATTTCTGAATTATTCTAAAGATTAAAAAAAAAAAAAATCTCACCTGGAAACTAACAGAGTAAGTATAGGCAATTTTGATCTCCCCTGAGGCCTTGTTACTTATATCCATGGGGGGTCCAGAGCAGTCTGGTTTATCTATATGGGTATGTTTGAAGCTGTGGGAAGAAACATTTTGGCAAGTTGCTGACACAGAGTAGTTTTAAAACTGGGGTAAAATAAAGGTTAGAGATTTTGTACATATTTCACTATACTGATGAGAGTCAAAGGTTAAATTATTCATGCCACATTTAACAGAAGTATTTATTTCATATAAATAGTTAGAAGTATGTGTATTTTATATACGTTTTATCATAATAAAGGAGCCCTGGTGGCACAGTCATTAGGAACTCAGCTACTAATTGATACACTGGCGGTTCAAACCCACCACCCACTCTGTAGGAGAAAGGTATGGCGGTCTGCTACTGTAAAGATACAGCCTTGGAAAGCCTATGGGGCAGTTCTACTCTGCCCTATAACAAGTTGAAGAGATATTCTTTCAATGGCTCATTCCATATTGACATCTAACACTACTGTGAAGGGTTTAAAATTATAGCAGTAGAAAAGACCTTTGACAAAAGATAAAGTTGCAAATATCTGAGGCAATGTTCTTTGTATATAAAGGGGAATACTGCCTCAACCATTCATGTCCTCCATGCCAAGATGACTAACAGAAAAGCTGTCAAAATTTTAAGAATGATAAACAAAGTAAAAAGGCACACTGGCTTGGTCACATATCATGACAGAAAAGTAAGTATTCATATGGTTTCTCTATAGCCCATAACTTACTAATAAATCAAGTTAGAAGAATTTTAGTAAAGTCTATTTTGAAATCCCAAATTATATGACCAATACCAATTAAGGTATAAGTTAACTGGACCTAAATTACCTATACTTTAAGCCTAAATTCACTTATATAATTATTTACTTATTATCAATTTTATAGTTACCTTCTTGGTTCAAGTTTAGCAGCCACTAATCTTGCTCCCATGGACCCAGTTTCAACAACATGATAGTATATTTTGATGTCAACATGGTTGAAGATATAAAATGTATCTCTTTCATGGAATTCTGACTGTAGAATAGAACTTAAAGTTAAAATAGAAAACTGGCTACATAAGTCAAAACATGAAACTTTAAGCTGGGCCACTACAAGGAAGAACATTCAAGCTTGGAAAAAAATTTAATTGTGCCTCATAAAAAATATTTAAGTTTTAAGCTTAAAAATCTTTGTAAGCAAGAATTAATTGGAAGAAAGTACAAATATAGTTTATACTTTTAAACACTTTTCCTCCATAGAAGTTTATAACCTTACACTAATAATCAAATGTATTCAAGTATCTTTAATCAAGTCTCACAAAAGCATTAACCAATATAATCCAGTTTTATGATCAAGTTCATGTTAACTTCTACTACCATATCATATCCGTTGGAGATTAAATCAAGTTGATCTGATTATATGAATTTATTTTTATAAATTCCCAAATAATTTTTAGCTACCTTCTGTATTAATGTCTTCATTTTATTAATATTTTTAAATAAAAGAAAGGCCTTAATGACAGACATAACTTTAAAAAAGGTACACTAAACTGTTAAGAAAAAAACAAGATTTCACGGGCTTAAGTTCAATTTGTAATCAAATTTCGCAGAGTCAAAATCTTCACAATGAGGTCTTTTTGATATTTTACTACCTATATTTTTCAATATAAGATTTAAGGATCTAACTTTTAATAGAGCTAGAACAAAGCTGTAGCCCTCAGTATAACGTTTGGTGGTGGTGGTGTTGTTATGTGCCGTCGAGTTGGACCCAACTTTCAGGGACCCCTCCATGGGTTTCCGAGGCAGTATCACTACAGAAGTAGATAGCCCCATCTTCCTTCTGAGGAGTGGCTGGTGGGTTTGAACCACCAGCCTTCTGGTTAGCAGTCAAGTGCCTTAGGCACTACGTTACTAGAGCTCCTGGTACACATTTTCAAAAATGTAAACAGAACTAGATGGACCGTTGATGAGAGGTAAAACTGCAAAGTGAATTTGAATTATTTTAATTCTAGAGTTTAATTTAACATTATTAATCTAGCTTAAAGGAGTCCTGGTGGTTCAGTAGTTAAAGTGCTTGGCTGCTAACCAAAAGATTGTTGGTTCAAACCCACCAGCCCCTCCATGGGAGAAAGCTGTGACAGTCTGTTTCCATACAAAGCCTTGGAAACCCTATGTGACAGTTCTATTCTGTCTTATAGAGTCACTATCAGTCAAAACCAACTGAGTAGCAGTGGGTTTTTGGATTTGAATCTAGCTTAAGTTTAAAATCTAAATAACTGTATTTCAGATGATCTGAATTGTATTCATTCAATGGATGCAACAATTTTTATGCAAAAAGCTAAATTTCCCTATCAAAAAGCCATTCTTTTAAACTATTACAGAGTTTATTATGAACTTACATTAATAACACAAGCATCTTTTGCATGGCCTTTATCTGTAATGTAACAGCCAATAGGAAATCCAGGATTACAAAACCTCTGACCATCTTCAACATCATAACACCATGTTACAGGCATATTATCCACAATCCTACACAGAAACAAAATTTAAGTTAAAAGAGAAATCACCAAACATGACAAAATACTACCGCCAGTGTCATCACTTCATAAAATTTAAATGTCTGACAAATAAATTCATATTCCAAAAACCACAGCCAAAGGGTTTTGATAAAATGTAGCATCTATAATGGAGACATTATGCCAGTATCTCACACAATGTAAGGAAGGAAAAATTTCAGTTTCATTGAAATGATACAAATTTACATAGCAAAGAGGAATTTTATAAATGTATTAATTACACTTAGAAATTTAAGAATATCATCCTCTGGACATTTAAATATCTACCACTAGTAGAAGACTTAAAGCTCTGAACAGCTGCAAAATAATATACCTAGTTTCTAGGGAACAATTCATAGACCAGTATAAATGTAAATGTCTTTTATTATATTTACATTCAATAAAAAGACTATAACTGCAAGTAGGGGAAAATACTCAACTTAATGGCTAGGTGAAAATTGTGTTATATATTTAAAACTGTGTAAATCCAAGTTATTTTTTAAAGAAACGCTGTTTTTAAAGTCTGAGAAACACATCTTGCAAGTTTTATAGTGAAAGATAACTTGTTTTTAAAAGGATAAAAATAAATAAATAAACTTCTGTGACATTGTGTAACAATATTAAAATCTGAGCATGTGGCCCCTCTATGCCCAAAGCATACTGTGGAATACAAATTAAAAAAAATTACTTGAAATATGCTAGCTGTATTACAGTCCTAAGATGACACTCCAGGGTATGTATTATTTGTTAATTAATGTATGCTTTAGGAAATACAATTATGATTCTATATTTACACAAGGTGTACACTAATGACCTAATAAAGTATGTCTCATCACATTTAAATGCTATTTAATAGTACCCAATGTACCAAATTTTAGAATCACCTATACTATTAAGTTTCTTATTATTATAAGCAGCAGGCTAGTTGTTCCAATGAAAACACTATAAAATATTAGGAGCATAAAAGCAATGTTATTTAAAACAAATAATTCAGGTTTTCTGGAGACCTAAAGAATCAGTTGCTTTAATGTTTTAAAATAGAGAACAAAGTTCAATCTATTAAGATATACTAGCAATACAGTAATTATAGTATCTTTTTGCTATTGTATCAGAGAAAGTACTACATAAAAACTATGGTCACAGTTACAAAATGAGGAATCAAGGAACAATTCAGATGTTGCAAAAGCAAGCATCTTAAACTTATCACTAATATAGTGCCTTAATACAACAGCATTTTCCTGGTGATAAAATCAGTTGCTATCAAGTCGATTCTGACTCATAGTGCCCTCATGTGTGCTGGTGTAAAAGTGTACTGTATAGGGTTTTTAATGACTGATTTTCAGGAGACAGATTGCCAGCTCTTTCTTCTTAAGCTGCCACTAGGCGGACTAGAATCTCCAGCCTTTCAATGCATTAACTTTTTGCACCATTCAGAGACTTTTCTCCTGTTAAAAATAAAATCTTGGAAATGAATGTAAGAAAATTTAAGGAATACAATTTTAACTCACTAACTTTCTAAGTTAGGAAGACGTATTTATTTGAATTTCTAACACAAAAAATTAAAACTCATATTCCCAATCCTATATAGAAAAAAAAAAAAAAAGGTGAGAATACAGCTCAAAAGGATAAAGGCTGAATGAGTGGTCTCAACTCTTTATCAATAAGGATCCCTTCCCACAGATTCTGTTTGAAATACATCTACCAAACAAGCTGCACTCATTAATAACTTATTTTTCCTAATAAATTAATCAAGTTTCTAGAGTTTATGATCAGAATGGAATAACTTATATTGGTACAATGCAGTCAGAAAACTGCAACAAAAAGCAAAGAAATTTGGCATTTAAGTTATTCAGGATAGTTTTAACATGAGTAAATTTATACTGCTCATTAGGACTGTGAATTTTGAAAAATACCTTATCATTCCCCTTTCCTAGTTGGTAGGCTCTCATATTGGAAATCTTTAAAACCCCTTTCTCATAAACTATAATCCGATAAATTGTTAGTACTCTGATAAATGGCTAAATAATTAAACTTTTATAAATAAAATGCCACAAAGACTGGGAAAGTTAGGCAGGAAATATAATCACAAACCATGTAGGGCATGTGTTGTTGCTGTTGTTTTGTGCTGTCAAGTTGGACCCAACTCATAGCGACCCTTCCTTGGGTTTCCGAGGCAGTATCACTACGGAAGTAGATTGCCCAACTTTCCTTCTGAGGAGTGGCTGATGGGTTTGAACTGCCAGCCTTCTGGTTAGCAGTCAAGTGCCTTAGGCACTATGCTACCAGAGCTGAGTGAATTCAGGTGCCTAGTGCTTGTATCAAAACACCAATCTTGAGGATAAAGTAGCTTAGGCTATTGACAGAACAAGCCAAAAAGATGCTCAAGTTACATTCTAAAGTGCCAAACAAGAATGAAAAGTATTCATCAATTTAGAAAAGAAAATTAACTATTGTTAATTCTCTATAATGAGGATAATGAGTTGGTACATTAATAATATTCAGGCATTATTAATCATTTAAAAGGTAGTACAGTTAAAACGTAAGGTTAAATAACTTAGGAGGAAAGAAACTATGGATCATCTATGCAATGTAATGTCATGCAACTATGAAAAACAATGAGGTAGGTCTAGATCTACAGAAGTACTTTACACAAAATGATGGTTATAATATCTTGTTAAATGAAGAAGAAGCTGCAGAATAATGTGTGCAATAGTATTCCAGCTGTGTTAATTAAAAAAAGGTATATATTCTTTTAGATACCTGTGTATGTATAGAAAATCTGGAAATACACATAAGAAATAGCAGGGTGCTGGGAAATAGGATTAAAGAAACTGAGGTGGTAGAACATTTACTTTTTACTTAATATTTTCCCATGCTGCTTATGTTTTCATGGGCATATACTGCTTTATAATTTAAAAAAAAGATTATGTCCTCCCAAAAGCATCTTCATGCAAAGGATAAAACAAAACATGCTACATTTACAGTAAAATTCTGTAACAGAACACTCCTTTTAAAAATGTATCAAATTTCATGGGTATCTTTATCTTAGTCAACTTGACTATCTATGCTTACAATCAAGCTACATAGTAAAAACTTTCTGAAATTAAGTCAAAGCAGAAATATATAGCCCTTACCTCATGATTTAAATAAATTTATCAATGTGAAATAGCATTTTTCTAAATGCGTCATAAACTGGTTTAAAAACTGAAGTGCTCTGCCTTAAATTACCAGATGGAATATTTCTGATATGACTCACATTTTGTATTAATAGAAGTTACATTAAATTAATAAACTTCTCTGATTTAACTACAAAATAATTAACTAGTACTTTCCTAGTTTATTTTTTAAGCGTATTGGTTTAAGTTTACAACTGATAGACCCACTACAAACTATAGTAAATTTTATCATCAAATGCTTTCAAACGTGCAGATTAGTCTTTTCCTGTTATATCAAATTATATTTATTAAGCATGTTGGTATCAAAATAAGACCTATGACAATTACATCAGAAAGCAATTTAAAATATTCCTAAATACTTTTCTGTAAGGAGGCTACAGAATAAGAAAACCTGCTTCTATTATTTTAAACAAGATTCCAACTAGTACTGTAAAAACAGGCAGCAAAGATAGCTAAGTCATCCATACACCTTAAGCATCCTTCCTTTCAGTCAACAAATTAACAGGTGTTGGAGTAAATGGAGGTAGATGGGGCTAATACCAGGAGACAATATAAGATAATGTAAGAAGTGAAGTTTAAATGTTAATTTGAAAGTTATAAAGAACAATTTGAAGAAAGAGAAAACATCAAGGGAAATTTCAATTACTTAATGAATAAACAAACATATCCCAAGTTACACTGTTCCAACAATTAAGTAGTGCTCCAACAATTAAGTAGTGTTCTCACAGTGACTTATGGGGAAAAAAGCTTAGTCAAACAGAAACCAAAGAAATGAGAAGACATGAAGTTTTTGACCTCTTAATTACACTGAAGATCAGATTAGAAAGAATGCTGACAAAAGTGTAATGGGCTACATGGATGGATCTTGAAAACACTGTGCTAAGTGAAATAAGCTAGACACAAAAGGACAAACATAATTCTACTTCCATGAAATATTTAAGAAGCTCTGGTGGTGTGGGTGCCTAAGGCATCTGACTGCTAACCAGAAGCCTGGAGATTCAAACCCACCAGCCACTCCTTGGAAGGAAGGTTGGGCAATCTACTTCCCTAGTGATACTGCCTCGAAAACCCAAGGAAGGGTCGCTATGAGTTGGGTTCGACTCAACAGCAGTGAGTTGTTTTTTTTTTTTTCTTGGTGGCATAGTGCCTAAGACATTTGACTGCTAACCAGAAGGTTGGCAGTTCAAACCCACCAGCTGCTCCACAGAAGGAAGATGGGGCAATCTATTTCTGTAAGGATTTACTGCCTTGGAAACCACAGAGGTTGCTATAAGTCAGAATTGACTCAATGGCAGTGGGTTTGGTTTTTGGTTTTACGTGAAATATTTAAAACAGGCAAGTTCGTAGAGACCAAAAAAAGATGAGAGGCTACCAGGGGCTGGGAGAAGGAAGGAATGCAGAATTCTTACTTAATGAATACAGAGATTCTATTTTACGTGATAAAAAATTCTGGAAATAATTGTGATTGCTGTATAACACCATGGATGTGATCAACGCTACTTAATTGTACACTTAAAATTGCTTGCCATAGATGTGATTCTAATTCATGGTGACCCCATGTGTGCAGAATAACTGCTCCATAGGTTTTTCAAGGCTGTGATATTTTCAGAAGATGGCCAGGTCTACCTTCCTAGGTACCTCTGGGTGGGTTCAAACCACCAACCTTTAGGTTAGTAGTTGAACACTTAACTTTTTGAGCCACCCAGGGGAATTCTTAAATATGGTTAGAACAGCAAATTTTATGTTTTATATATTATCACAATTTGAAAAAATAACTAATGGGCAAGTTTCTGATAGTGCCATTTCCTTCCTTCCTTCTAACAGAGCCCCTCTTGCCTATGGGGAACTCATTTCTATGTGGTCCAGGTGTATGCTACCCAGGTCAGGCCAAAGTGAATCCTCCTAATCACAGAGTAGGCACACAACTAAAGATTGCTCCTCCGAGGACCTTCTTTTCCCCCAGTGTGTGAGTGGGTGGAACGTAGGGGAGGGGTGTATGTGTACTGGGGGTGGGGGTTAAGGAACTGAGGAAGAGAGAAGAAAGCAAGGTTCCAACCATGGTATGTGAGCCACAGGACTGGTCTTGTCTGAACTAATATCCATGGCTCCTAACCTTCTGAGAGGTGCACAAATGGTTTAAGATACTCATAGGACAAACGTTCAAGAGGAAATTTATGGAGACAGTTTTCATGTTCATCACCTCCAGCAACTTAAGCTTTTTAGAAGAGACAATACCCAAGTACAATATGAACCTCACATGAAGTAGGCATTTGCAAACAAAATTATTTGAAAGAGTAATAGTAGTTGGACTTGAAGGTGAGATTTTTTTCGGAGTTTTTTTATTTTCTATGCTTTAATATTCTAGATAAGCACATATCACTTTGGTAGCAAATAACAGTTTTACAAATGCTCTCTAATTTTGACAAAAACTAGTAAAGACTTTGTTAATGTTATATATTTACAAAATAAGATAGTTAAACTAAATGTAAATGTTTTACTAGATGTAGATGCTATGTATCAAATATTTTAAAAAATTAAATTGTGTTATGGTCATCTTCATTGCCCATGGGTATAACATATTTCTCTAGAAGATCATCCAAATCCCCGCCTCAAAGCATATGTTTCTGTTAATTCTACATGAATAAAACTATTATACTTATATATGGCAAAAGAAGTACCAAATATTACAGTAAGATAAGCAGTTAAAGATGATACTTTAAATGATGCTATCAAGCTTAGTAATAACCCTCTGGCAAATAAAATTTACGATTTCATGCTACTACTATTGAAAACAAACAAAATAGAAATCAGTTAATCTACTATGCTTTATACAGTCGGTAAAATAACTTAGAAGTTTCATCTTGAAAAGGAAAATGTCAAAAATCTAAAATCTACAATCTAAAATCACTTACCAGTGATGCTGATAATTTAGTAGCATGCTTTTTTTCAAGAATTCCAGCTTTTGTTTGTCTTCAGCTTTCTCTGTATGGTATGTTTTTGTACAAACGAGCTTACAAGCCTCTTCCTTATTAAACGTAAACTGTATTAAAACAAATTGCAAAGTAAATTAAGAAAAAATATTCAGATCCTTTATAAAACCAACACCAAAACCACTGCCCTTGAGTCGATTCCAACTCATACTGTGCCTACAGGACAGAGTGCTCCACACAGATTCCAAGGCTGTAAATCTTTAAGGGAACAGACTGCCTCATCTTTCTCCCACAGAGCGGCTGGTGGGTTCAAACCACTGACCTTTATGGTTAGTAGCCAAATGCTTTAACCACTACACCAGCAGAACTTCTAGGTCCTTCATAGCTACAACATGAATAGTATAAAACTAATGATTTCATTAAACTACTAAGTGCATTCACACTGGCAATAAAATCTAAAAACTCCCCATAGCTCAATCAGATTTAAATTTCAATTTTAATCCATTTCTCTAAAAGTTGTGATCTGTTTTCCTTTCAGTAACAGCTTTTCTTTTTCTTTTTGATAATCCCAAAATGCATCTGTTCGAAGTATAAATAAATCCTAGAAGGAAACAAAACACATGTAGAACAAAATGGATAGTAATATTCTATAGTAATGTTCTATGATCACATTTTACAAAGTTTGGAGTTGACAGTTTTCAAGTAATGAACAGAAGAGTTTTTATATTTATTCAATAAATATCTGTTAAGTGTACCCAATGTAGAGATTCTGCAGTGAACAAGATAGACTGTCATAAAGAAGGACACAAGGAAAAGATAACTACAGAGAGGAAGTGGGAAGAGAACTATGACATTATGGGGATTACAATTAATGTCAAGCAACAAAATGTGTATGAAATGCTCTATGGAAAATAAATTTACTCTGTAAACTTTCAACCAAATCACAGTAAGAAAAAAAGGGAGGGGGGGTAGGCTATATAGTCTGAGAAAGAGAAATGTGGAACCAGCTAAGGATCCCAAAGGGCTCCCCCTTGAGATGCATACTAGAGAACCGGCCTCAATTCACAGTTGATGGTCTGAAGAAAAAACTAATTTTCTTCTGTAACACTGCCTGGCTGCAGTATCAGCTACATCAGGCAGAAATGACACATTTAATAACTTTCCCAGTAGAATGAATGAGGAAATGCATCTGTAAGCCTGTTAATTATAATAAAGTCAGAGGGGTGACCTAAGAGAAAGACGAACACCCTGCCGTTTTCCTCAACAGACTCACTGAAGTATTTAGGAAGCATACCAACACTGACCCAGAATGCCCTAAGTCACCTTCCCTGGTGGTAATGCATTTTATTATCCAAGGTACTCCTGGCATAAGAAAAGACTGTCAATTACCAGGACCTTACTTAATAACAAAGTTAAAACAAAAATTAGTAATTTTTTTAACCCAACTTAAAAAATGAAAAAGTTTTAATGTACTAAACTAACTATACAGATAGTCTATGATTATATCTTTAAATAAATTCAAACTTTGTAAAAAGTGGTAAAAAAATCAACTTTCATTTATTTCACTTCTAAACTGTCCACTCTTTTATCCATTATACATTAATATCCCTAAACCACTTTCTGGCATCAGTTGACAGATAAATGTTTCGAAGTACAGTCCAATGCTGCCACCTGTCAGCCAAGAGTTTAGTTTTGGCTACACTGCTACTTCTGTCAATATATAAAAATTTGTACAACATTTGATATCTTGAACCTCACAAGTTCATTTTCAAAAAGTAGGAAAAAGAAAAGAAAGGGCTTATACTAAGGCATAAGTATCAGACTTAAAAAATTAAATTCAGCAGAAAGTGAAACAAACCTGACAGAAAAGGACAAATGCTCCCACTTACCTGAAATATCTAGAATAGACAAGTGTATAGAGATAGAAAATAGAAGAGAGGTTACCAAGGGCTGAGGAGAGGACAAAATGAGAACTTATTGCTTAATGGGTACAGAGTTCCTATTGGGACAGATGACAAGTTTCAGAAATAAATACTGGTGATGGTTGCACAATATTGTGAATATAATTAATGTCACTGAACTGTAAAGTTAAAATGGCAAATGGTTTAAAGTTTAAAAAATAAAATAAATACGTTTAGCAGAGGTAGACATAAGCTAGATCAAAGGTGGCAAATCTGACACCTTACAATGCTCACTGGGTTTAGGTCAATTAAATGTGTGTTTAACTGTGAAGGAAAATACCAAAACTAAAGATGATCTATACTAATAGTTAACACTTATTTAGTGCTTTCTATGTTCTATGCATGTTAGATATAAAAATGTTATTTAATCCTCCCAACAATGCTTTGAAATAGGTACTTTATTTACATTTTACTGATTAGAAAACTGAAGCACAAAAAATTTAAGTCACACGTAACACGGCAGAACCAGGCTTAAACCCAAGCAAGCTAAGCTCTAGAGAAAATGCTCTTAATCACTATGCCCTGCTGTCTCTCCCTATAGAATGTTTAGTTGGGAAATGAATTTTATAGTATTTTATATCATGTTTGGTTAAGGATTTTTTTTTAAATACTTTGAGCTCCCAAGAAACAAAATTCTCCTTACAAAATGAAAGCCTGTTATTGTTCTACTTTTTATATTCATTAAAATACAAAATCAAAGGATTTAACTTATGCAGAAAAATGTTTTTGCAAGATAATTTCTCTTGAACTATTTCATTGAGAGTTTAAAATTCTTTCTGGAATAATTTTATGGAAGTCACTGTATCAAATACTTTATTAACTTGGAGTCAGTCCTGGGTTGAAATCCAGATCCATCTTGTTTTGAGACTCTTGGAAACTGCTTAATTCATCTTACCTTCAGTTAGCTTATGTATCAAATGGGTTTAACAGTATGTCTTACAGGGATGTTGGATTAAACATAGTAACATATGCAAAACACCTAGCAAGCTGACTGACAGTAACAAGTGTTCACTAAATGATTATTGTTATGCACCTCATCATTATGTCTTAGTAAATGGTAGAGAAATTATATACCTCCAATATATCTTGAATCTCATCTCAGAAGGTCCTCTAAAACTTGCTGTAATGCAAACTTGGCTCTCTCCTAAGGGTGCTGCCTCTGCAGCAGTCCTCTCCATTGGTGGCTTTTTTCTCCCCCATGTGGCCCAGAGCACTGGGCCAGACCATTCTCCCTCCTCCTGAAGAAACTCCAGCTTAACTCTCATGTCATCACACTAAACTGCCCATTATTTCTTCTTGTTGCTGTCATTACTGACCCCACTTAACTGTCCCTCAATCCTCGAATATTTTTAGCTCCTGATCTGCTGTTACTCTCTCCAACTCTATCCTTGCTTCTGATTCTTAATGATCCCAACATTTACATATATTACCTTCCAACCTCATGTCCAAATCTCTGCCTTTCCTCCTTACTATGGATAAACTAGTCTACTAAGGCCAAATTCTTAACACATACATGAGATCCCAAACACAACAATCTATCCTCTCTCCTGAATCATCACTTTTCTCTTCTCTACTGTATTATTCCTATCAGCCCCTCAGTACACAACATTTTTAAAATATATACAAGTTCTCTTTGACACAAAGTCATCTCCAGCTACCACGCTTTTTCTTTCACTGTCATTACAATAAAAGGCCTCAAAAGATGAAGGCCCATCTGCAACTGGTCTTTCCATTCTTTCTCCATTTGGCTATTCTACCACATTGCTTTCTCATCAATGATCTCCATATCCTCAACTCAATGTTCACTTCTCTGTCCTCATCTTTCCTGATCTAATAAAACAGAATCAATCTCTCCTCCCAGAAATATTTTCTTATCCAAAGAGTGGTACCACATTCTCTTGGTTTTCCTTCTTTTGCTCTACTGGCTCCTTCTCAGTCTACTATGGTAGAGCTCAACCATTTTCTTGACCCCATTAATAGCTGAGTGCCCAGGGTTCAATCCTTGGATTCTTCTCTTCTTTATACCTACTCTCTTGAGGATATCATCAATTCCATGACTTTAAATACCATCTATACACTGATGATTCTCAAATGTACACAAACATACATGTCTATGTATATATACATACACACCCATATGCACATTTTTCCAGCCTGAAACCCCTCTTCCAAACTCCAGACACATATATTCAATTGTCTACTTAATATCTTTACTCTAGGACGTCCAATAATTACCTCAAATTCACTAAATCTAAAACTAACTCTTCCCCATCCCTCCCAAATTGCTCTAACAACAGACTTTCCCATCTCAGAAAGCTGAAACTTCACAACACATATCCCCCATCCCTCAGTAAATTCTGTTAGCTCCACCTTCAAAAATATAGCCAGATTCTGAGCACTTCACAACTCATTTCCTACTACCACCATGGTTTAAGCCAACATCGGGTCATATTTGGATGACTGTAAAAGCTCTTAACTGGTCCCCAAACTTCTGTCCTTGCCCTCCCATAGTTCATTTTCAAGACAGCAGCTACAGTGATCCTGTTAAAATAAAATCTATGCAAAACCCTCCAATGTTAACCATTTCATCAGATAAAAAGGCCAAAGTTCTTACAATGGCCTATAAAGCACTGTATGATGTGGCTTTGTTACTTCTTTGGTTTCATTTCCTACTATTCTCTATTTTGTATTTTACGTACCTGCTTGAGTTGCACTGACTTTGTACTGACCCTTGAATACACTAGGCTCATGTATTCATCGGGGATGTTTACATATGCTGCTCTCTTCACCTAGATCAACTTCCCCCCAATATTCACATGACTCACTCCCTTACTTGCTTCTGATATTTTACTCAAATACCACCTTCTCAGTGAGACTTTCCCTGGCCTATTTGCAACTGTAAATTCTCCATACACCTTCCCATACACCTATCCATACACCTTCTCCATACACCAATTTATTTTCATGGGAAGTTCTTTAATCAGCAATTGACACACTTATATATTTTATTTGTTTATTTTGTCTCCTTCTCCACACCAGAATATAAGATTTTTGTCTTGTTCAATGCCGTATCCTACCCTTCCCAAAGTGCATAGCATATGGAAGGCAATCAATGACCACATTAACTTAACATAGCCCCACCTTCATAT